CTACATGCTAATCTGGCCCCTATTGAAAAGAGGTCAGCAGTGCACTGAGCCAGGTTCGTGAACAAAAGACAGTTGTATAACACTGCACAATCTGGGCTCTGTTTACAAGGCTGCAGGCCTGGCTGAAATATTCAGGCATCAATGAAGGTCACCTGTCAACTTAGAGCAGTGCCTAAAGATTACTCCGTGCGGCTATAAACAACTGTTAAATGGAATGATGAATTGTTGAAGGATTTTGAAAACGGAAAAAAATGATAGTCATGCCGGCCCAGCATCCTCAAGGTTGAAAATTGCCCCGGCTAAGACCCACTTCTTTATTTCTGAAAAAAAAAAGTTCGGGAGCTTATTTTTAGAGCAGTGTTTCCCCCCAAAGGAAGGATGACTCTTAAATTCAGAATCCACATTGACCCCCAGACCAGCCTTTTTTCATGCAAACTGATTTTGTACTTAGTGGAAAATGAGTGTCAGTAATTTATTTGCACTCGCCAAATAGCAGTCCAACACAAGCATTACTGAACCAGTCACGTGGGACTGGCATGTTTTCCACATTATAGCATCTCAGAGGTCTCCCATTCCTCCTGAGGGTCTGAAAGCTTTGACTCGCTGTCCATTGGCCTTGACAAGCATATCAGATAGGTACAATGTTCTCTTATTTATGCCATTCTATATTTCTTTCTCTCTTTAGTTCTCGCCAGCCATCAACAGGCAGCAGCAGCGGCAGCTGCAGCTGCTGCAACCGGTGTCAATCCGTACGCTGTCAGAAGGTAAAAGCACTACACACCAAACTCTCTACTTTGGAAAGCTTGATTACGTTCATTTTGTCACTCCAAGTGCAAGCTGAGACCTCAAAATGAAGTTGCAGTGGCATCCCATTACAAAATCAAGACTTGGTCCTGGCCGTGTATTCCAGGGTTTATAAAATTTCCACACCGCATTGCCTCAGTAGAACAAGATTAACCTAAATCACAAGCAATCTTGGCTTTAATTTGCTACACTGAACTATTTGAACTCAGGTTTATACTGTATGAACCCAGGTTTGGATGATTCAAAAACAAACAATAGATTGATTTTGCCATCCTGCTTCTTTTTTTTTTTTTATATCTTCGTCACCCAGTACTTAAAGAGCAGCTCTAAGGAAAACTTCTTTCTCTGATTTCATCTTTTAAAATAAATATGGAAGCATCCAAATCAAATGTAGTGTCATTTGTCTTCAGAGCTCAATTATATGAAGCTAAATAGGGCTTTTTTTTCTGTTCATGCCAAGATGCGAATTCTGAATGTAGACTGTGTCATTCGTAGAAAACTGAGAAAATGAGGGGAACCCTTGACTTGTGTTCGTAGTGGATAAACCCCTGTGCATGCCAAACAACGTATGTAGCCATAGTTTGTAGCCATTTTTAGCTTGTTATAGTTGAGCTCTGATGACAAATGACACTGCGTTCGATTTGGATGCTTCCATATTTATTTGGACAGGTGAAATCAGAGAAAACATGTTGCCCTTGGAGATGCTCCTTCACCAAACCATGTGCATACAGATTACACTTCATTTGTTTTTCCTTTCATTTTTTCCAGGGAATGAAGCAGGCTGAAAGGTTCCTCCACCATGCTTTTAGTGACACTTGCAATGTTCCACCAACCAAAGAGTCTGTGACCAAAGAGTTGATTGATTCCATCGATTGTTGCGGAACAAGGCTCTACTGCTCAGCATGCAGTATGCAGAAGGACTGTTGACGTTTGCGGCCAGTTTTTGGGGGAGCCTCTTTATTTTAGGAAGAGGAAACAGGGAAGGACTTTGTGAGATGAAGACATGATATTTTTTGTTATTTTGTTAGAAATCTTGTCATTGGTCTTATTTAGAAGCTGATTTCAGGTTTCCAGTAAATTTATGGAGTTTGGGCAGAAAGAGGAAGTTTTGTATATAGTGTGGACAGGTGGATTATCTGGTTTGTATTCGGTCTTTTGATGCGGCCGGCATACGTGTGAATTTTTATACAGATGGGTAGAATGCTGAATCCCTTGTAAATTGTAAATCGCATTTCTTTAACCAAGTTAAAGAGGTGAGCCTTTTGTCCTTTTTGGTGGTTGGATTGCATACCAAACTGATCACCAACATTCTCCTCATGCCACAAGGTCAGCTTTCTTCATCAGGTATTAACTGTGCCCAGACACTGGCAAGCACTGTTTTGAATAAGATTTTGTAAGTTTTTCATAGAATGATCTCTCCATTTTACACTGACTGTCAATCAAAACGCACCAATAATTTTTTCTTCAGAAAATGGGAATTTAAAAAAATATGCTCTCCAATTTCTCACAAAGAGTTGTGGTGGGAGGACTTACTTAGACAGTCACGCAGCAAGTCATTCAGTCCATGCATGATTCCAGCATCTCATCAGAACAGAACATGAAAATGGTGCATTTCCATTGACTTGACAGTATTTTCAACTCACCGGTGACGATACCATCAATAGGGAGCAGAAAGTAATTCCCAGGGAGGTAACAGACTGGACTTCCCTCTTTTCCTTGCTGACTGTATACTATGGGACTGAATACTCAATGTGTGCGTTAGTCAAGCATTCTCTCTGTTAAGGATCCAGCTCCTTGCATGCAGTTACCATATACCAAACATAAGATTTTATTCGAAAAAGTACTGTTACATATATGTGCTGTAATTGTAGGAGAATATCCCCCCTTCAAAATAAAGCATTTAAGGTGAAACAGGTCCTATTTTTAATTTATTTTTTTTTCTCTTGCTCCTTGTTTTAGTTAGTAGTGTCATAGCCATTTTGTACTGTTGGAATTTTGGCAGTTTGGATCAAATTCTCTTTTTCCCCTTGAGCATTTCTGCACTTTCAATTCCTAAAATCTGATGGTGAATTCTTGATGTTCTCGCTATTTTTGAAAAAGCGCAATATATAACTTCGTGGCTTAGAATTGCTATTACCCAGTTTACGGATAGAGGGGAGAGAAAAAGATCACCTGAAGACGACCAGAAACAGGTTCTGGCCCTCTTCCTTTGATTGCCAACTTCCTTTGTAGTGGATAAATCACAGAATTGAAACTGATCTGTGTCCAACAAGCGAGGGGACAACAACAATTAACGGTCATGTCTTGTATGCGCATTGCCGGGACAACCCATCATGGTGACTTAATTATTGCTGACAAATCATCAAGACAGTTTCTGACCGGCGGTGTCTCAGCAGAGAGTGTCTTGTTTCACCATACCTCGTCCAGGTGAACAGCAGTAGCTTTTGACAGCACTTTTGCCTGAGGAGAGAACCAGTCAAACATTCAAGTTTAGTGTGGTTCTTGAACACAAAAGGAAAGAAACAAGTTTGCTGTTGGTCGCGGAGACTGAATTTTTTGCCAGCATCAGCTTGTAGTAAACAAGCTGTTATTAAAACAAGTTGCCGTTACAATTGTAAATGATGAAGTATGATATTTGGCATCGGACTTTGTTGCTTAAAAAACTAATCGTTTTATCAAGTCTTATTCTTCCTAGATGTATTATAGACCTATATTTTCATTCTTGATTGTGTCTCGTTTTTTAAGTGCCACTGATTATAAAACCGTGTAGCACACACCACTTTGTATTTTACTGTATCTTAATAAAATTGTAGACTTTTGCCGCAAAAAATGCGACAGGAAAATCAGGCTCATTGAGTTCATTTGTATATGTCCTTGCGAGGATTTTGTTCTATTGGTTATTTTTTCATTTAAGCCAGTCAAAATGAAATTGTAGATTTATGGAACTTATGGACAGAGGATTAAACTGGGCATTATTTAGTTGCTACCTATTTTGTATTGAAAATATTATCAGTGGTGTTTTGCTGCTTGTGTCAACTTAACCATGGCTCTTTTGAGACGTGTAAAAAAATTTCGCCCTTCCCCACTGTCACTTGGTATGATTTAGTCACGATGCATCTTTATCATGCTGAGCCCCCTGAAAATGGAACATGTCATTCTAATGAACTGCCACCTTAAAGCTTACGCTGTGAATGACATCTGGGTCATTCCATGAGGTTGGGGCACAATTTGTGATGGTGTCCTTGTCACATGGGTAATTTTTACCACCTGTCATGACCTGAAGAGTAGGTCATTTACTCTGTAAAAATAACACACACCTCTGTATTCAGCCTTGCAAGGTGTATAATTGGGAATCCACATGCAGGGAAATAGCTGTTCAGTTCTACGGAACCCACATAACAATGGACACCGTCACAAATTGTGTCCCAACCTCATGGAATGACCCATCCACAAAAATTTCTGTCAGATTGAATTGAAGCTTCACACTTGCTAAAAACTGAAGTGTTGAATCCAACATCTACAGGAATGCGATCAGTGACCGCTCTCTGAAAGCATTACACTGAAAATTTTAAAAGATAAACCAGTATTGTAAATATCATATCCCACAGTTCAAATATTAATTCAAAAATTGAGGCCCGAGTGTTCATCCAACATTTTCCCTTTGATAATGTTATATCATCATTTAAAATGTTGATAAACAGATTTGAAGCTGAATTAAAAATTTTAAATATTGGATTTAACAAAATGTTGGATTCTACAGCAAGTGGTCACTGACCGCAGTCTGGTAAGTGTTTCACTTTTTGGCATAGGCCTAGACCCCTATGGATTCAAGAAGAACTCATCCTTTCCTCAGCTGTACATGTAGGAGGATCTAAAGCAAAAAAATACAAAGGAAACAAATCCCTTACCTATGAGTTATCATATTCCTCTTTTCTAAATTGCATACAAATGGCATGACAATTTATATCGGGCTTCTTTCTGTTTTGACTTTTGAACAGACTCGGGAACCACACTACTGGAGGGAGCATCTGACCAGGTGACAGGCCTATACGGGTGCACTGAACTAATTCAAGCTCCACTGGAAAGAGTATAAAATCAACAAAGTTTGGAGCCCTATGGCAGGCAACTGAAGTCCCTGAGGCCTGTCAACAAAAAGCAATGTGTTGTTTGGTCCGTCGGATTTCATTTGATTTGCGAGTTTTAGTATGTGAACCATTGAATTTTTTAATTATCCACCAAAACCAAACTCAACCCCCAAAAAGTGGATGTTCGCAAGTCTTCTCAGCGGCCACTTTTCAAATGATATCCCTCACGTTCTGGGGGCTCTTCTGACACATTTTCAGTCACATTTTTGTCAGCTTTTCCCCCAGATGGGTGCCCCTGAATCTACAGAGGTGATCGTGGGCCACATCCCACAATTTCTTTGCTCACACAGACCCCTCTTTTCGAAAGAATTTGCAGGGGTACTTTTTAAGCGCCTTGGCCTGGTGGTAAATTTTCTTTGAATACAGGCATTTCACAATTGTCCGCCATCAAGAGTTTGCTGCACGTTGACCAATCACAGTGCAAGAAATCTGTTGACCAAATGCGCGTGTGAAAAGGGTCGACAATTGTCACGCACCGTGATTGGTCTAGGCATGGCAAACTTTTAGAGGCACACTATTGTGAATCGCCAGTATTTGGACACTGCACAGACATGAACATGTAGACTGCCTTTTTAGACCTTGTTCGTGATCTCCATGGTGCAGACTAAAATCTAGACTTCTTTTTCAGAGAAAGGGAAACGTCCTGTGGACATGTATAAGTCCACAGAACGTCTTCCTTTCCTGCATCGTGTGGACATCTTTTGTTCACAAGTCCACACTAGGTACTTAAGGTTAGCGCGGTGGCACACTTGCACTTGTGAAGTATACCGAGTGCACGGTGGTCGCTTTAGTCTGTTTATTGTCGCGACTTTGTGTCAAGAAATTAGTCTTTGAGCGTTGAGGAATCGCCGGCCCACCTACGTGATGACATTGATGGAGTATGTACAATGGATTTTGCTTTTATTATTCCACCTTTACAGGAATAAAATTCATAGGCCTAGTTCTAGTTGAGAGTGATGAGACCATGTTGAGACTAATCCTACATGCAGGACTGGGATCAACACTAGGCATGCCTACACTCACTGGCTATAGTACATCATGTGCATGGCCCATTTCTGTGAAAATGACATGAACAACTTTAGTAGGCATGTATGCCCACTGAGATTTTGCACACATCTTGCAAATTGTTCATCCCTCAAGTTGTTGGGTCTGATGTGCAGCTGGCCATCCCATTAATGGTATAAGCCCAACAAGCCCAACTTCACTTGACCCGACTGCATCAGGATGATGTAGATCAGTCAATAATAGTCTGAGCAACTTGGATTCTGACAAATTGCCTTTTTAAAGATTTGGATATGGTCCAGCGAATCATGGCAATGCACACACACTGTATACCCATCAGTCATGTCAGTGTGAAGTCGCCAACCTGGTCTGGAATCGCCTCGCTCCGAATCAACTCCATCTGGGGTCAACTTGGTCCCAAGTCAACTTGGTCTCGTCAACTCTTGAAGGCAGGCACTTGACTGCAGCATGAATAAAAATCTTCCAAGCTAGTTTCAACACACTTTCTAGCATACCTTTACATGTATTAAAGTACATGTATTTCCAGAATTCTATCATGTTCATTCTGCATGTACACTTTATTTACACATATAGGCCTACTGACATGTGCATGAGATATCAAGCCTTGTAATTTGGGATGGCCAGGCACTTGGATGCATCATTAATTACTACAGACAAGAAAGCGAAATCCCAGTCTTTCTTGCCTGTCTGACAAACTTTGGCATATAAATATTTCCAGAAATCTAACACTGCATGTACACTGTATTTACAAACATACAAACATACTATATGTTAGCCTATTAAGCCTCGAAACAAAAAGTCAATGAAAAACTTGGTTCCTGATATACTAGTACCTTTTGTGTTAAGTTCTTGTCAGTTGCTGTGGAGATCAGTGGATTTTCAAAGACTCGGACTTGAACTTAGACTTACATGTACCGGTAGACCTTCTGGACTTGAACTCGAACAATGAGAACTTGACTACCAGGACTTGACCCAAGCCCCCTCTCTGATTTTTAACTTTCTTTTACTGCGCATGACTGGTGGTCTGCGCATTTGTCTGTGGTGCCGAGGCATGCGTAAAATGGAAAAACAGGACCGACAAGGTTTAAAACACTCCTTGGTATGTTTGTAAAGGTACATGTACGCAAATTGTCCAAATACAAAAGGATTTGAACAGAATCATGCAATGTACATTCTGTGCATTGAATTTTGAAAGTTTCCATGATTGACTTAGTAGTTTACAGTTTGATAAGTTGAAGTTTGTACTGTAGTGTGACATGTTGCAGCAGACTGCCAGTGCTGGGTCAGATGTCCACCCCTGCCTGTGGGCTCATCTTCTGGCATCACTGGCCTGATAGAGGAAGGCGATAGCAGCGTGGTTGGTCCCCTGCCTGTGGGCTCATCTTCTGGCATCACCGCCCCAGTAGAGTAAGCCATCTCTTGTTTTACGACAGTAGTAGTCATGATTTTTGTTGTCGCAACAATTTGTCAAAGGTACAATCCACTATTTGTCTTTTGTGGATTATTTTCCTTTGAAGCAACAAAATTACTCAAAATCTATAGAAAGGAACACAAGAACGAACCTGATGAAGATGAACTTTGAGCTTAATAGTGAATGTTTAATATTCTGAGAAAACTATTCTAGGACTTGGATTTCAGATCAAAAGTTGCTGAGTCGTGTTTTAAATTGTGCCTGTATTCAGCATCTGGGAAACGTTCTCATATTCAGTCGAATACAGCTACACCTTTTCACCCCCTGAACTGATGAATTATGGAAACTGCTAGTGTGTGTGCATCATGTCAACGCTTGCATGCATTTCTAATAGTGATTTTCCAAAAATTTGAGAAGGCGCGTGCTTAAAATAATTATTTCTTCATGATGACCGTTTGCCAGAAAGAATAGTTTCTCACAGAATTTAGTCGTCTATCTAAACCAAGTATACTTTTCAACAACAATAATGGATACCTTTTTGATAACTGCAAATGAAAGACTGTACAGTACAGCCAAATGCATCCTCACCTTGGAGGAAAGATTTGCTTAAACTTAGTGATGTAACAACAGAAATCTCTATCCGCCTGCAACCGTTAGCACAACCACCCTGAGCACCGCCATGAAATAGCGCTCAAGATTAGCACATTTTTCTGCTAAACTTAGCACAAATTTTCTTCCGACTGTGTTAACAAGCCCCATGAAATTGCGCCCGACCCCATCCAGCCTGTTACACCCTGCACTTCCCAGCACTGTAAGGTTTTACGGATTTAACAGTGACCCACAATAAGAGTCTATGTGGTGATGGGTTGAAACATGGGTGTTTTGCTCATTTCAGTGTGACTGAAAAACCTTAGGAGACCTTTTCTTGTTTTTTGTCATTTTTCCCTGTGTTTAGATTTGGGAAGGCCTCATTGCCAGGTGAATGTACTGCCATAGTTGCCTACATGAACGTTGAAGCTGCCTAGCGTCATGGTGCAAGTGGACTGACCGATGAAATCTCCAAAGTGAAGTGGCAAGTTATACGTAATAAGTAGCACAGGTAAGAGTCTTGTAGTTCATATCATTGCTGGCTTTCTGCAAGGATGAATCTGGGAAAGGGGGAGGGGCCGATGGGGTCATGACCAAAAAAGGAGCAAAAATTGTTTTCATTTGAAAAAATGAAAGGATCAGTTTGGTCTATTTAATTTCCCTTCATTTGAAAAGTGGA